ACGCCAAGTTTATCGAGGACCTACCCGTACTCGCGGCCACTCTTTACGAAGCATCGGACGAGCAACTCCGTTCCGGACGAGATTTGGAGAAGCCCAAGCATGCGTTCAAGATACTCAAGGACCGGCTAGTGTCGACGCCACTGCTCCAGCACCCCGACCCCGGGAGACAGTATGTAATAATATTGCATGCCAACCCCTGGGCCATCAGCGCCGGTTTTGGGGCAGGATCACGACAGCACCATACTACCTGTGCGGTTCGTGGGGCAAGTTCTCCAGGACGCCGAGCTTCGGTACCATCCCGCCGAAAAGGAGGTTTTAGCACTGCTCCGCGTCCTGAACACATGCCACACGATGATTACCAGCTGTTCCGAGAAGTAAATTCGCGTGTACACCCGGTACTCGGTGCTGGCATGGCTGTTCAAGTCCAAGACGGTGGACGGAAGATGCCTCAAGTGGGCGGTCAATCTGTCTCCCTGGGACCTCGACATTCGACGAGTTGAGAACGATGAGGATGGCCTGGCGGCTATCCTGGGAGCAGGTATCACCCCCCGCGAACGCCTCGACGAGGTCGCCAAAACCCTGGTTCCAGAAAAGGGTTCCAGGATCAAGACACCGCCAGTCAGCCTGGAAATGGTCTCTAGTGACCACATCGGGCACTTGTTGAGCTTCGACGGAGCCGCCAAGAGAGATGGGTCGGGGCGCTGCTTGCATCCTCTGGAGTCTCCCGAGTTGGGAAATCGTCGCAGCCACGGGACACTTTCTGGAGAAAGCTACCGTGGATGAGGCCGAATACTCTGGACTAGTCAAAGGCATGCAACTCGCTCTAGACATGGGGGCCAGGAACTGGTTGTGGTCGGGGACTCCCGACTCGCAATACAGCAGCTCCAGGGCGTAATTGGTTGTACCCAGCCCCATTACTCCAGGAGGCTGAAGGGCTCCAAGCTAGGTTCAAGTCCTTACGCTTAGTGCACGTAAAAAGAGATTTCAACGCTGCTGTCGACTACATCTCCAAGCGAGTCATCCAGGACCAGTCATCATTGGAGGTCGCGGACCCCGGGGAACGCAAGTTGCTCCAAGGCTTGAATCGGATCCACGCAAAACTGATGAAGGACCCGAGCCCCCGGGAACAGTCGCTGATGGAGTGCGCGTTCCTAGCCACAGCTTGGAATATACCCAAGTGCTCCCCAACAGGTTCAAGAGGCGACGAATTCGCGGTGACGCGCTCGAAGTCCAAACAGGCCAAGGCTGCAGAGAAGTCGGGTCCGGGGAACCGGGATCGACGACTCTGGAACCGACGAGTCGGGAACCGACGGTCCCGGAACCAATGACCTTGGAACCGACGGTCTGGAGGACGAGCTGACAGCCTTATCCCGGAGCCCAGACTGCCAAGACTCTAAAGAAGACCTCGACGACGTCCGCAGAGAACGATGGAGAAGGATTTGCTCTCACCAGGTACACGACCTGGGGCTAGCGCCTTTGGTAAGGTTTCTCCGGGGCGAGACTGAGCACTTGTCCCTGAAACAAACGACACACTTGGCCAAAATAGCGGACCAGTTTGTATTGGATTCCCGGGACGCCCTGTTCTATGTGAGTCGGAGCACCCCGGAACGTCCCCGAGACGCCGCAGACCGCCTCCGCCTGGTAGTCCCCCAGGACCTCCAGGAGGACATCCTGCACCACTGTCACGCAGACTTCCAAGGCGCTCATCAGGGGATCATCCGGACCTATGAGAGGCTGCGCAAGGAGTTCTACTGGATCGGCATGTTCAAGGACACCAAGCGATATGTCAAAGAATGCGTTGACTGCGTCACAGCCAAGGGACTACCCCGGAACCCGGG